CACATAGATCAAATAAACAAAAATATCAACAAAGAAACGTATGAACCAAACCTTCAAACAAATGGACTTAACAAATATCTTCTGAATGATCCACTCAACAACTGAGTACACATTCTCCTCAATAACATGTGAACTTTCTCCAAAATAGACCATATACAAGTCCATAAAGCATTCTTAAATAAATACAAAAGAATTGATATTATCCCATCATATAGCCAGATCATAACGCAATGAAACTAGAAATCAAGGGCAAAAGAATCCATAGAGATCACACAAACATATGAAGACTAAACAATATACTCTTGAATGATCAGTGGGTCATAGAAGAAATCAAGGAAGAAATTAGATACTGCCTACATACCAGAGTTTATGGGAAAAAATAAAAGCAGTCCTAAAAGGGAAGTTTACTGTTGTGAATGCCCATATTAGAAAATAGAGTAATCCCAAATAAGTAACCTAATGATGCACCTCAAGGTCCTAGAAAAACAATCCAAAGCTAGTAGAAGGAAGGAAATTATAAATATCAGAGCAGAAATTAATGAAATCAAGACTGAAAAACAATACTAAGAATCAATGAATGGATGCTCTCATTCTTCAAAATGAAAAATAGAATAGATAAACCCTTAGCCAATTTTACTTAAAAAAGGAAAAACCCATATCAAAGTAACTAGAAATGAAAAATGTGAAATCATAGTGAATAGTGCTGAAATCCAGAAAAATTATCGGTCATTACTTAAAAATCCTATACTCCAATAAATTGGAGAACCCAGAATAATTGGATGGATTCCTAGATACATATGATTACCAAAACTGAATCAAGTAGACATAAAAACCTTGAATAATCCAATAAAAGGCAATAAAATGGAAGTAGTAATAAAAAAACCTTACCAACTAAGAAAAGCCTAGAACTTGATGGATTCACCACTGAATTCTACAAGAACTTCAAAGATCTAATGCCAATATTCTTCAAACTCTTTAATGAAAGGGCAGGAATACTCCCAAAGTCACTGCCAGAAGCCAGCATTACCCTGATTCCAAAACTAGACAAAGACACAACTAAAAAAGAATACTATAGGCAAATTTATTTTATGAATACAGACACAAAAATCCTGAGTAAGACACTGGCAAACAGAATACTCACTCAACAAATAATCAAAAATTACCAATTATGACCAAATGGGTTTCATCCCAGAGATGCAAGGATGGTTCAACATGCACATATCAATAAATGTAAATATACCACATAAAAAGAAGCAAGGACAAAAGTCACACAATCATCTCAAAAGATGCAGAAAAAGCCTATGACAAAATCCAACATCCATTTATAATAAGATAAACTTTGAATAGTTATAGAAGGACCTCATCACAATCTGATGCAAGATGTGACAAGCCTACTGCCAACATCAGATTAAGTGGTAAAATGTGGAAATCTTTCCCCCTAAAATCAAGAAAAAGACCAGGATGTCCACTACCACCACTTCTGTTCAATATGGTACTTGAAACTTAGCCAGAGGAATGAGGTAAGAAGGAAATAAAGGGATACATATAAGAGGAGAAGTCAAATTACCATTATTTGCAATGATACAGTCCTCTATGTAGAAGAACCTGCCTCTCCCCAAAAAATTCACCAAAAGACTACTAGAATAACCAAATTCAGCAATGCAGCAGGACAGAAAATCAACACACAGAAAAATTAATAGAATTTCTTTATGTAAATGATGAACTCACCGAGAAAGAAATTAGGAAAACAATACTTTTCAGAACAACATCAAGAAAGGTTAAATTCCAGGGCCAGGGATTTAGCTCAGTGGTTCCACTGCCTGCCTTGCAAACACAAGGTCCTGAGTTCAATCCCTAGCATACACACACACACACACACACACACACACACACACAAATTCACTTTCTAGGAATTTAAGTGAAAGATTTCTACAACAAAAACATTAGTACTCTGACAAACGAGATTGAACAGGATATCAGAAAATGGAAAGATGTCCCCTGTTCCTGGATAGGCAGAACCAATGTTTTTGAAAGGGCCATACTTTCAAAAATTGGATATGCAGATTTAATGCAACCTCAATCAAAATACCAAGTATCCATTAGACAAACTAGTGAAAACAATCCTAAAATTCATGAGAAACCAGAAGAGACCCAGAATAGCAAAAGCAATCTCGCCATAAGAGCAAAGCAGGAAAAATCATAGTTCCAGATTTAAAGTTATATTACAAAACTACAATGATATAAACAGCATGGTACTGACACAAAGGCATGGATCAATGGAACAGAATAGAGAATGCAGAAACAACTCCAGGTACATTTAATGTGCCTAACTGATCTTTGACCAAGGGGTGAGATATAACACTGGAGAAAAGATAGCCTCTTTAACAAATGGTGCTGGGAAAACTGGCTATCCACACACAGAAGATTGAATTTAGATCCACAGGACTCACCATGTACCAAAGTACAATCAAAATGGATCAAAGATTTAAATACTGAAACAGAATTAATCTACTGGAAGATAAAATAAATAAAACTCTTGCAGACATAGGTGCAGGCAAGGACTTTCTATACAGAAGTGCAATTGTACATGAAATAACATCAAATATCAACAAAAAGTTTCTGTATGACAAAGTAAACAACCAACAGAATAAAGAGACAACAAACATAGGGGAAAAAATTCTGTTTGCTACTCCTCTGACAGAAGACTAATATCTACAATATTTAAAGAACTCAAAAAAAATTAGGTCCTTCAAATAAAAGACCCAGTTGAAAAATGGGCAACTGAAATAAAGACACTATTCAGAAGAAATACAAATGACCCATAAGTACATTTTTTAAAATGTTCAACATGTCTGGCCATTAGAGCAATGAAAATTAAAATAATACTAAGATTCTACTTTACTCCAGAAAGAATGGCTATCATTAAGAAATCAGCCAGGGATTTAGCTTAGTGGTGCCACTGCTGGCCTTGCAAGTGCAATGTCCCAAGTCTGATCCCTGGTACCAAAAAAAGAAAAAAAGCCAATAAATCAAATAATAACAAGTACTGGCAAGGCTGTGGGCTAAAAGGAACCCTTCTACATTGCTGGGAATGTAAACTAGTACAAGCACTATTGGAATGGAGGTTCCTTAAAAAACTAAAATAGAAATTCCAGGGCTGGGGATTTAGCTCAGTGGTTTTGCTGCCTGCCTTGCAAGCACCAGGACCCAAGTTCAATCCCTGGTACAAAAAAACAAAAACAAAACACAGAAAAAGAAATTCTACTCACCCCACCTATTTCTCTTCTATGTATCTTCCCAAAAGATTTAAAGATATATTACAGTGACACATGCATATCCATGATTATTGCAGCAAGTCATGACAGCTAAATTTTGGAAGCAGCCTATATGTGCATTAACTGGTGAACGGATAAAGAAAATGTGGTATTTAGACATGATGGAGTATTACTCTGCTATAAAAAGGATACACTTGAGTCATGTGTAGGAAAATGGATGTATCTGAGACCATAACGTTACATGAAATAAATCAGACAGAGGTTAAACGTCATGTGGTTTTTTTCTATGAGAAACCAAAGGAGCAAAATTTAAGAGATCATCAGAAACAGAGACAGATCTTTTGCAAATGGGAAGAAGACCAAGAAATGGAGAGAGAGGGGGAATTTGCTACACAGAAGTGAAATTATATTTTTGTTTTTATGATTATTTAAAATCTCTTTCATGAGATGGTAAGCCCAATTGAGGTAGGGACCAGGAGGGCAGGCACCTGTGTACGCAATGCTTAGGACCATGCTTAGGATAGTGTAGATGTTTAATATTTGAATACAAAATAAATATATACAATGGAATATTACAAAGTCATTTAAAAATATGACAATGTACAATTGTTTATTGACATTAAAGGTAGCAATATAATGATAAATTTTTAAAAATCAAATTATAAAACTGTAGTTATACTATGATCCCATTTTTATAAAAAATGTTTACAGATACATACATCCAAATATTAATAGTGGTAGGATTATGGAGGCTACTTTGTAACTCTCTATATAATCTGAATTTTTAAACTAACAGCATTTATTTATTACTTTGATTTAAAAATTTTTTCAGAAAATAATCAAGTAGACAGCAAAATGACCTCTTTTGAAAACTCACGAAACATCACTTGAACAACTAATTTTGGCATATTGTATTAAATAGTACAATATTAGAAGCAAGCTAGATTCCTGAATTCAAAATTAGATGCCGGATTAAACTCATCATGATGCTGTTTCTGATTACAGCAGCCCTTTTTAAAAAATGACCAACATAAAGTCTTCATTTCTGTATAAAATTTATTATTTAATTTTATGTCCATAATTATCCATAAGACTCTTCTCTCTTTTTTATTCATGTTCCTATTCAGAATATGAATAGACTTTTTTTTTCTTTCCTTATCCTATTTTTAGCAAAAGATCAAGAATATTCGAGGACAGTCAACTTCAAAATAGTCTTAGGCTGCTACATTTGAAATATTTCTCCTCAGTGAAGCAAGACTGCAAAGGTGAAGTTTTTCCCAAGAAAATGCCAACGACACATTACCAAAATTCTAAAAGAATATCCATTTTATACATATACTTTTAATACCCTTACTGGTTAGAAAACTAAGAACAATTTTCCCTTTTAAAAGACATGAATTTATTTAAATAAGACATTTATAGAGCACAGTCTCTAAATGCAGCAAGAATATACTCCTTGGGTATCCTAACAGATAAGTATAATTGCACTTATTTTATATAACAATTGGCATAACTGTAGGGAAAGGAAATACTTTTGTATATGAACTCCTTTTCCAGACGGGTGCGGCGATACATGTCTGTAATCCCAGCACAGGAGATGCTGAGGCACGAGGATTGCTGTGGGTCTGAGGGCAGCCTGGGCTATGCAGTGAATTCAAGGCCAGTGAGGGCTACATAGGGAGATCCTGTCTCAAAAAAATTCCTTTTTCTCATTGAATTATAAATGTTTCACTAAATATTAGTTAAAATTTTAAAAAAGAGAAAGAAAGAAACAGAGAGAGAGAGAAAGTCTGTATGTATATGGCTGTCTTTTAGTAACAGTAACTTTGTTTTCCTGACAGTTTCAGTCCATCAATACAAAGACCAAAGCACCATATTAAGAAGTCACACTCTTGAGTTATGAAATGTGACAGTTCCAGGAGAACTGTTCCACCATTATTCATTTTCTCTAAAAGGTCTAACAAAATAGTGCTAAGTACTGTGCTTTAGAACCTTAATCATATAATACACATCATTTACAACACAAGTTACAAGAATATGTGCACCACAGCTAGGTTTTACATACTCTTTGGAAATTCAAAAAGTTCAAGAATGTCTTAATATTCATTTCAGATCTAGAAGCATAAAAGCTGGGTTTTCTAGGTAGGATTTCCACAAATTAGAGAAGCGAGCCATTGTAGCTCCGTCAATAATCCTGTGATCAGCGGACCAGCTCACATTCATTATCTGTGCTTTATATACTTCTCCTTTCTGGTTAAATCGAGGAAGGGCCTAGAAATAAGGAAAACAAACACAGAGTAAGTTTTCACTCGCTCAAAGCTCAGGCTCTGGTGAGTGGTGTAAGATCAGGCCAAGCCTCCTCCCGATGGCAGACAGCTGGTGGGCAAGCCAAAATGACTTTGGAAAATGATAGTTCCTAGTCCTCCCACCTTTGAGAGGAGAGGACATTCCTCAAGCTTTCCGTTTTCCTGAAAGAATCTCCTGGCCCCTAAACAGTTTCCACGCTGACATTAAATTTCATCTCAGATTTCAAATGTTAAACAATTATTCAATCAACACCTGTCATGTCCAAGGTACTCTTAGGGGTTTGGACAGAGACAGACAAGTAATACAATGAAGATATTAAGGCTCTTCACTGAGACAATGAGGGAACACACCACAGGGACACGGGGAAGAGGAGATGGAGGGCAGGGGTGACTGGGTGTCGGGCAACAGCAAAGCAGGAAGAGGAGCTGCCATGGTGTGTGGGGGTGAGGTTGAAGAGGGGTCACAGCCAAAGCAGAGCAACACAGCTGGGGTGAGGGCAAGTCACTGAGGACAATGCCTTTCAATCTATCTTTGGTAAAGGACCTTTTACAAAAAAAGCAACTTGAGGGCTGGGGATTTAGCTCCATGGTTCCACTGCCTACCAAGTAAAGCACAAGGTTCTGAGTTCGATCTCCAGTACCAAAAAAAGAAAAAGAAAAAAGAAAGAAAAGAAAAAGAAAAGAAAAGAAAAAGTAGTTTGAATCTATGTTGGAATATTTACAAAATATACTAAAAGTGAAACTATTAAAAATAGAAAAATATAAGCCCAACTTCTTAGTTGATTCAACAAACAAAATCACTCTGTCAAGCTGCTATGAAGTGTCTGAGTCCTACTCTGTATCTGTCCTTAACACCGTAGGGCCCGGATACAGCAATTACAGCACGATGTGGGTCCCTGATCAGGTGGAGCAGCATCTGTGCAAGTCTGGGTTGGCCACTGCAGCTGCCTTGTCTTAGATTCTGAGTAAGAGGAAAAGCCATGGAGGTGCCCGAGCCAAATGGCCATTCGCTGCAGCGGGGAGAAATAAGGATGAGTAGGCTGGGAGCTAGAGGGTGGTGAGGAAAGGACTCGTATGAGACTTAGTCATACAAACAGGGATTATGTGTTGGGAGTTGAAAAGTGAAGCTCTGTCTAGAGATAGGTATTAAACCTACTAGATTGGATAAAATAATGAAAAGAGTCAGAACTGAGCTCTGGGATGCTCCAATGTCTAGAAAGTGGGCAGATAGAGGGCAGGGCAAAGAAGACTCAGAGGGAAGAGGCAGTGAGTCAGGAGGACAATCAGTACAGCAAGACATTTTACAAGTCATCGTGAGAAAAGTTTTTCAAGGAGGTAGAACTGATCATCTGTGTCAAGTACAGCTAACAGGTCAAGAAAGAGAAGACTGGGACTGAGTACTAAGAAAGTTTAAATGAATCAGACAAATTGGCAAGGAGTTTAAGTTTTATAGTGAAAACAAAATAGCAAAGGAGAGATAAAATAGAGGCAGAAATGAATTAAATACTGTTTGTTCTTACCCAAAAAGGATTACATTTAGTCACAACTAAGGTTTATAGTCTAAACTGGGTGTGGTGGTCCATGCCTGTATTCCTAGCTATACAAGAGGCAGAGGCAGGAAGATTGCTTGAGCCCAGGAGTTCAAGACTAGCCAGAGCAACAAAGTGAGACCTCGTCTCAAAATGGAAAAAGTTTGATACTCTATAGAGTTCCCATACTTGTATTTTAAACAAGAACCCTAGTAACTAGGCAGCTAACAAACTATCTGCTAGAAGGCTTTGGATGTCACAGTAAAGTAGTAAACTCATGAACTCTATATCTAAGATGAAGAAATCTTTATTTTTAAATAGCTCTTCCAATGATTCTTTGAGCATAAGGTTTAGAGAAATGCTCTAAGATGCACTTCACGTAGTTATTAATAACAATTTGAATTGGTTTACTATTATTGGTATTTTTCAGTAAAGACACCAATTTTGATAGGAGCAGATTGAATGTATTTGTGGTTATCCATAAAGACTCACAACTGTGCCTGATATAATTATTAATGGTTGATCCGTACAGAAACAATCAGATCATCACCTTTCAGAAGAAAGAATTAACTTATTAGCCAAATTTCACAAACTCAAAACCTACAAGGCGAAGGGTAAACTTTAGGAATGAGTACTTCTATGTGTCCCTTCCCCAACTCACTTGTTTTTCGGTTATTTAATACACATACCTGGATTGACCCAAGGGCCCCAATTGCTACTTCAGGTGGCAATATCACTGCTTTGGCATAAGTACCACCAATCTGAACAAAAAAAGAAAGAAAAAAATTAAGTTTTCAGGGAGAACAGATGTAAATGACATTTTATATATCCAATTGAGCATATGATCAGAAATTTACCATATGGCTTATGAATTTGCACATCCTTACTCACCGATCCAATGTTGGAAAGAGTAAATGTTCCTCCAGTAAGGTCAGCAGTGCTGAGCTGACCCGAAGAACCCAGATCCTGGAGGCGGTTCAGTTCAGTGGCAATCTCAAATACAGAGGAGACCTGGACATTTTTCACATTAGGGACGATCAACCCCTGCTTAGTATCCATTGCTATCCCAATGTTATGAGAAGCCTAAGAAATAAAACCACTATCAAAAACCATTTTCATCAGACTGGCAATGATTCAAAGGATATTATTTTAAAACATTTTTTAGATTTTTTTTTTTTTTTACAAAGATGACCTTTTGCTGGTAGGAATATAGGGCAATCATACATTGTTAGAAGGAGCGTTGAGCAATTACAGACCTTGGGGAGAACATTTGACAATATGTATCAAAACTTATAAAACTGAATTCAAACCTTTACCACTTTTCTTGTTTAAATTATTCTCATTCTTAAAATTCCAGGAAATTAATTTTTTTTTTTTTTTTTGCACCAGGGATGGAACTCAGGTCCTTGCACTTGCGAGGCAGGTGGTAGAACCACTGAGCTAAATCCCTGGCCCAAGGAAATCAATTTTGAGAGAGCTGCTTCTTTGGGGGAGGGAAATTAGAATGGGTTTCTGTGTATTTCCATTATTTTAAGCAGAAAAACAAAAGGGCTTAAAATGGCAATTTAAGAATTGTTTTTTATTAGTATTTGCAGCACATGATTATATATCATGGGGAGTTGAAATGTGTACATAACACATTTTAATTTTTTCATCCCCTACCCCTCCCATCCTTCCCTGATCCTTCCAACTCTTGCTCTCTTTCCCATTTGCAAAACCTCTATTTGTTTTTTATCCTTCAATTCTTTAATTCCCCTTCCCATTTGAAAAAGATCTCCTACTTCGTATTATCTACTTTTTATTTTGATTTTTATGTATATTTTGAGTTCTTCACATGAGAAACTATGCAGTATTTATGCTTGTGTCAGATTTATTTCACTTAATATTATGGTCTCAAGTTATAACCATTTACCTATAAATGCCGTGAGTTTATCATTCTTTATGGCACCGTAGTACTCCATTGTGCATACATGCCACGTTTTCATTATCCATTCATCTGTTCATGGGCATGTAGGGAATTTCCAAGATTTATTGTGCTGCTATGAACATGGGTATGCAAGTGTAACTGTAATACGGTGACTTTAACTTTTAAGAAAATACCTACAAGGGAATAGCTAGGTCAAATGGAATTTCTGTTTTTAGTCTTTTTAATCAGTATGGAAATCTCCATTCTGATTTCCATAGTGGTTGTACGAGTTTACATTCCCACCAGCAACAGAGAAAGGTTCCTTTTTCCCTGTGGCCTCTCCAGCATTTGTTATTATTTGATTTCTTGACAATAGCCATTCCTTCCAGATTAAGATGGTATGCCAGAACGGCTTTAATTTGCACTGCTCTAATAGCCAGAGATGTTGAACATTTTTTCATGTATTTGTTTCGCATATTTTTTTCTTCTTCTAAGCAGCATCTCTTCACCCATTTTTTGGCTGGATCTTTTATTTTGAGGGAACCTAATTTTTTTGAGTTCTTTATTTATTCTAGATGTCAGTCTTCTGCCCAGGGCATAGCTGGCAAAAAAATTTTTCACATTCTATATGTTGTCCCTTCACTCTGTGGGCTGATTTCTGCTGTGCAGAAGCTTTTCAGCTTGACGCGATCCCATCAGTGTTATATTTCTTGTGCTGTCACATTTCTGTGCAAGAAGTCCCTGCCTATGCCTATGTCTTCAAGAGTTTTACTTATCTTTCAGCAAATCAAGTGCTTCTCTTTCAACATTTAGATTGTTGACCTGTTTTGATTTTAGTTTAGTACATGTGAGTGATATGGGTCTAGATTCAATCTTCTGCATGTGGGTATCCAATATTCCCAGCACCATTGATTATTTTTATTTATTTATTTTTTTGGTGTCAGGGATCAAACTCAGGATCTCGTGCTTGCCAGGAAGGTGTTATTACACTGAGCTACATTCCTGGCCCTGTCCTAGCACCATTTATTGAAGAGGCTATCTTTCCTCCAGTATAACATTTTGCCCCTTTGTCAAAGATCAAAGAGCTGAATGTGCCTGGGGTTGTTCCTGCTTCTTTTCTTCTGTTCCACTGATCCACATGTTTTTGTGCTAGTACTACACTATTTTTAATCATCATAGCTTTGTGATATAACTTCAAACCTGAGATTGTGATGTCTCCTGCTTTTTGTTACCCAGGATTGCTTTTGCTACCCTGGGTCTCTTCTGGTTCCACATACATTTTAGGATTGTTTTTCATAGATCTGTGAGGAATGCTATTGGTATTTTCATTGGTATGACATTAAGTCTATATAACAGTTTGGGAAGGATGGCCATTTTGGTTCTGCCTATCCAGGAGCAGGGGGCATCTCTCTATTTTCTACTGTCTTCTTTGATCTATTTTTTTTTAGAGTAATATCATTTTCATTGTAGAGGTCTTTCACTTCCTTGGTTAGATGAATTCCTAGGAACTTAATTTTTCTTGATGTGTTATGACTGGTACCGTTTTTCTAATTTCCTTCTCAGTGAGTTCATTACTGATGTACATGATGCTACAGTTTGTGTGTGTTGATTTTCTATCCTGCTATATTATTGAATTTTGTTATTAACTGTAATTCTAGGAATTTTCATGGAGTTTGTTTTGGGTGGTCTTGCAAATAATGATATTTTGTCCTTTCCTATACATATGTATTCCTTTTATTTCTTTCTCTTGTCTGATTGCTTTGGCTAATGTTTTAAGGATATGTTGAATAGGATAGTGGATATCTTCATCTTGTTCCTAATTAAGGAAGGAAAGCTTTCAGTTTTTCACCATGTAATATGATATTGGCAATAGGTTTGTCATAAAGAACTTTATAGGAATTTAAAAATCTAAACAGTATCATTATTAACCAGAAAAACCAAAAATAACAAATTATAAGGGGTCAGAGATTTAATTCAGTTGTACCAATGCCTGCCTTGCAAGCAGAAGGTCCTGAGTTTGATCCCTGGTACCTTAAAAAAAATTATACTTACTTTTTTATGTACTGCTAGGACTAAAATTCAGGGCTTAGTGCATTTCCAAATTTAGTGTTTTATACCTTTAAATGTAGCCTTTAAAAGGATCGATCACTACTTGAGGTATGACAGAAGTCTCTAACCTACAAGCACATTTGTACAACCTTTTACTTGTAATGAATATTTTTACAACACATAGCCAACCTTGTACGTTATAGTCTGGCAGTTTTCATCCACTGAAGAATTAAGGATTGGAAACTGTAGTAATCCCAAAGAAGTAGCCTGTTTTAACAGAAAGAGAATGTAACATTAGCACTTTTAACTATGAAAAACTAGAAGATTGAACGCAATGAGAGATATTAAAGGAGAGAGAGAGAGAGAGAGAGAGAGAGCTTTATGTTGAGTTTTAATTTCAAGTCTACATATGTATAGGCATATTACTGTATGTTTATCTCTAATCAATGTAAAACTAGGTCACCCTAGTCATTTAAGAATAAAAAATAGCAGGGCATGGTTGTCAAAGCTACTTAGGTATCTGAGGCAGGAGGATTGCAAGTTCAATACCAGCCAAGGAAATTTAGCTGGACCCTATCCCAAAAGCTGGAGATGTAACTCATTGCTACTTTGGTTCAATCACCAGTATTACCAAAAAAAAAAAAAAAAAAAAAAGAGAGAGAGAAGAAGAAGAAAAGAAATAAATATAGTAGATAGTTTGTAAACATCAAGGAGATTTTAAAAATAACTATACAGACTGAACAAAGTTTCAAAGAAAATATCTCAGTGCTGACTTCCACACTTTTCTGTAGTATCTTAAATATTCTATGAGAAGCAAACTGGTAATTCAAAAATACAAAATGCGAAAAATCAAAATGCAAACAAGTAGATAAGCTATTTCCCTGTGTAGAAAGAACAGGTGATAAGGATTTCAAAATGCACTGACTACGGGGACCAAGTGTTCCACCTGGTGTCCTTGGCCAAGCGAAGGTCAGAGCTGACTCCAATATTTATGTCAGAAGCCAAGTCTTACTGAATCGTATGTCTTTCCTCTGTTCTGCCTTCTCCCTTAATCTCACATTTTTTTTCTTTTGTCTCTTAAGATCATTCTACATATATAAATTCATATTTCCCTACTTGCACTCCAAATGTTCTTGATACTTAAATGTTTCTCTGCCTAACCAGGAACTAATACTTAAAGAGCACACACTGCATTTGGTGGGCGATGCTTTACATTAAATTTAAAAGATAGCAAAATAAAAATGCTTAAAATTGTTCTTAAAAAGAATTCCCTCCCTCTATTACCTTGTCTTTTCTCCCAATGTGTTGTTTTATTTTAGTCTGTAGGTTGCTGGTTTTGACAGAAAAAAAAATCTTTCAGTTAGAGAGTTAATAGAGGAGTTTAAATATATAGTTTTCACAGTTATTGGCTTAGCTAGGATAGGTTAAGGAAGTAGCTCAATGAAATTCAAATATAACAAAAAGATTTGCAATAAGTTTCTTAGTCCTTATGACTTGGAAGTTTCAGCAAGCATTTGACTTGATATCTGTAATTTTAATCTTCTTTATGTAAAAAGCCATAACTAAGGTTAATCTAAAGTGTTACACATAAAAACAGTACTTTGAGTATAATCCAAATTTTATAAAAGGAAGAACAAGCCATGTGCCCATTTTTCCTCTGTGTGATATTCTTTTTTTTCTAAATCAAATCTGTACTCTTGAAAATAAACATTTTAAAAATGATGTAATTACCATTTGGTACTCGGTTTGGAAATTAATATAACATTAAGTTTTTTTAAAAAAAAAGATCAAGAAGGAAATATGACATCATAATATTCTGTATCAGCTTTTGCCTGTATGGACTATGACCAGCTGCTGTAAAGTAAGGCAATAGAAAAACAGATGAAAATAAATTGGAAGTCATCATGGACAATAAAGGTATGTTATATTGTGCTTGAATTAAAAATAATCCAGGCACAAACAGATAACTGAAGTGGTAGACTGAATTCAAACCCACAAAGTGAAATACTGTGGTAGTATTGTATTTTCAGATGTTCTGAAACTTATATGTCATTTTAAAACAAAGTACACCACATTTTATTCTCAAACTACAGAAACTTCATTCAAATTGTAACAGTGAAGAAAAATGGCAAGAGATTCAATATGTAAATAGATTTGCCCTCACCAAGATCAGTAAGAGAAACTTGATCCAAAATAATAGTGAGGCTCTCTTGTGCTGTAAGTTGAACTTAAGACTCCCATGGGTGTCTTATTTATTTATTTTTTTTGAGGCCCTCTTTCTGTGTGGTTCCAGGCTGATCTTGGATGACTACAGTTCAGGATGGCCTTGACCTCAGGGGAGTTCTCCTGCCTCAGCTTCCCAAGTGCTAGGATTAGACGTGCGCCATCACAGCCAGCACAGCCTTGGGCTCCTTATGTCATTCTTCCCCAAGGCCAGGTCCTTTCTCCAGCAATACTTCACACACTTTTGGTCAGCCTACAAATCTGCTTAGCTTTTCCTTGAGGATGTGTGGGAGGGGAAAACCTTTCTTCCATTCACAAACAGCCACCTTAACTGCCTTCAGTACCACGCCCCATCTGCCTTTCTCTGTGTTTTCTGGGCGTCTCTTTTTCCTCAGCTTCCGCTCATTCTCCAACGTATGGCAACCGAGCTTCCACCTCAGAAACACCTCATTCAATCAGTTCTGACCCAGGCCACTGCAGCGACCTGTAATTTCTACTCCATTAGTCTGTTACTATCCCTTATCCTATACAACCTTTGTAAGCATTTGACCACTACCTACTCCCCTTAGAAGTTCTTCCTTCCCTCTGGGTCAGTGGTCCCATTCATGCACACACACACCCCTGCATTCACAGCCATGAGTAGTGCTCTCTCAAGTGCTAAGCTCAGTCATGTGACCTGCTGTTTGGCCAATGAAACAGAAACAAACTTTGATGGCGTTTGTTTGCTTGCAATAACAGGGCTTGACTTTACTGCCCACAAGACTGAGCCCCTTTCTTCCAAGCTCTGTTCCATCAAGTTTATTCTTGCTTCATTGAGAATTTCCATTCCATCTCTTCATCCCTACAGCACTATAACATGTCTACCAAGTAGGCTGGGGAGATGGAGGGAGACATCTGAAAGAGAAATGAGGTCCACCACTCAGGTCTTTCCACACCAGGAGTTCCTGACAACCTGCCAGCTGACTGCAGACACAGGAGAGCTCAACCAAGGTCAGTAGACTCACCATGCTCACCTGTAAACTTGGGTGAATCAAAAGAAGCTGTTGTTTAAACCATTAAATTCCCGGGTAGTAAGGTATATAGCAATAGAAACACCACTTAGTTGGCTTCTACGTAATTCTTTTCTGTTCTGTGGACACACCACTTCCTTCAGGCTCTACTCTCCCTCTTTCATTGTCTTTGCCAACTCAACACTGCCTACACCTGTGAAACCCTCAGCTGCTTTCCCATTCACACACAATTTGGCTGATGTTATCCATTTATTTCAATTTCCTTGTCTCAAGTCAAAAGTCTGCCTTTCATTTGGAGACATGACCACCACTCAGTGTTTACAGAGCATCCACTTACTTCTCTAAGTGGTTGCTAAAGGAGAGTGGTTTCTTTCTCATGAAGTTCAGTGTCCAGTGAGGAGACAAACAAGTAAATACTGGTGAAAATGGGAAACAAAACAGTTTTAACTCCAACAGTGACAGGCCCAGAAGGCCTTTGGAGGTTTATGCCTGAACACTATTCGGTATGCAGGATGTGTAGGTGTTGGATCAAGAGAGGATGGGCATTTCAGGTAGAAGTGTGTATTCCAGAAACTCTGTGTAGTTTAATGTGATTAAAACAGAGGATGTGACTTGACACAAGGAGGAGTAGAAAGCAGGCAGCACAGACTTCCAGTAATATCTGTATGTCGCCATTAGGAGTTTGGAAGCTACCTGAAATGCAACGAAAGTGAACTATTGGAAAGAATCAAAGAGTGTTACAATGATTTGATTTATGGAAAACCAGCCTCAGTGCAGAATAAAGAAGGCTGGAGCAGCATCATACTGGAATTAAAGGTATTATTATGAAATTTTGAGTAAAATAGATCAGAACTAGAAACTTGCTTTCCATTTGATAGCTATGTGTTCTTGACAAATATCTCAACCTCTTTCAGGCCTAATTTCCCTAACTAGAAAGGGAGGACAGTGATATTTACATGTCAAGGTTACTCTGAGAATTAAGAGATACTGCATAGAGCATGCTAGGGCTTGGCCCATGGTACCTGCCTGCTATGTCATCCTCATTAATGTGAGCTACACTGTAAGTTGCATAAGATCCACTGATGGTCTAATTCTATTCTATACTGGTTTCAAGGCCTCTGTATAAATCTGATAAATGAAAATAAAAACATGCCTGTGATATGCAAATTCAGTACCAAATCTCATTTCAGAACAACCCAGGATTTTTTGGTGATCCTTTCAGAATTAAAGGTTTTGCTCACCTCTCAGGACAAACCCACCTAGCTCAAAGAGGTAAGCAAATAAAAATATGGCACAGAAATTTCAATTTTATAAATCCCCAAAGAAATAGCTGGTTATAGATTTTTCTAACTATATGATATATAAGAAGTAATATTTTTATTCAAATCTAGTTAAAATATTACATCTTTGTAGAAAAAGATGTAAATGTCCTACTCAGCTTTTGTTTGAAATGAATGAAATCTCACCTTTATGAAAAAAGGCAGGAAGGTTAGTTTAATTCCACGAGCCAAAGCAATGGGTTTTAATTCTTCTCGTAGCTTGAGCAGTTCAGTAAGATCAACCTCATCATAATACCCAAAGTGAGGTATCTTCAGAGCTGCAGACATGGTCTTGACCATTGCTTTTTGAAAGCCTAGAAAATGTTGATGTTATTTATAAGTCTGTTAATACATTAAAATACAGAATTTAACAATACATATAAATTGAAATGTTTCCTGGAAAAACTGTCATTTCCCCATAAGCAAAATATATGCTGAATTTGAACTTTCTTTTTAGTAAGATTTGAAAACATCATATTATAAACATTCATCTACTGAATTAGCTTCCCCCAAATACATGTGTCATTGACTTACATTACTAATATTATTTATTACCTGTTACAGGTTCTGTTTTATCTTTGCCTATGAATACTGGAGGCTTTGATATTGATATGGGAACAGTCCTATCTTTTGGTTTTGGTGGAGGTGATATAATTTCAGCTTTTGGTGATGGAGGTAATATGGCTCCTGTCTGTTTTTCCAAATAGTTGAGAATATCTTCTTTAAGTATCCTGCCATCTTTTCCTGAGCCAACAACTTCACTCAACTTAATCTAAAAAAGAACACAGTTTACACTAAAAATACAATTACTTAAGAATAAATATGTAGTATAGTTTAAACATGAAATTTACTTTTTTTAAGACAGAGTCTTGCTGTGTATTCTAGGCTGGCCTGAAACTCATTACGTAGTCCATGCTGGCCTCAAATTCATTGAGATACTCTTGCCTTAGATTCTCAAGTACTGGGATTACACGCATGTGCCACCATGCCTGCCAGAATTTACCAATAAGTAAACTAATACAATAAACTTAGTACAAAGAAATAACAATTTCATAATCTTGAACCCTATGTAAGTAGTCATTTGTTAGTGTAATACATACTTTTTGTCTGCTCATATGGTACTACGAGGTATATAAGGCTTACATTATTAATCAGTTTTTTTAAATCTCTCATATAATTCTTACTAGATCCTTTCTATTTTTAGAGACTATATAAGAGGAAGAATAGAATTTAAAGAAGAAATAAAACACTAACACATTTAAATGAAGTTTTTTTTTTTTTTGGTACCGGGGATTGAACTTAAGTCCTTGCATTCGTGAGACAGGTGCCGGAACTACTGGGCTTAATCCCCAGCCCAACCAAGATTTTTGTGTACTAGGTAAAAATGAAACAGCTTGACGTCTGTGCCTGACTTGGCCTTCATATTTGATGCACTTAATGATACATAAAATTTCTTTAAGGACATAAAACATAATTTACATAAATGTTCCCTGATTTTGTGCATACATGAACCTAATTTTTGGCCATATAAAATGTAAGAGCCAGGCATGGACACCTATAGTTTCTGCTACTCAGGAGGTTGAGGCAGGAGGATCACAAGTTTCAGGTCAACCTGAGTAACATAGTAAAATCCTGCCTCAAAATAAGAACTAAAAATGGCTGAGGATGTGGTATAGCAACTTGTCTAACATGTGAGGCCCTAGCTTTGATCCCAAGTACAGCAAAACTAAGCAAAAAAATATATGGAAGAATATATCCTAGGTTATTTTCTTGGGCTAGTATACCAAAGACAAGATAACTGCCTGAATGGATATAAAATTTTAATGAGTCTACAATGGATTTCAGAAATGCACACTTTTTATTTCCACTATATCAACTACTTTTCTCAAAAACAAAATGTCTGCATTTTGGGGCACAGTGGAAAGAACTCAAGCTTTGGAACCAAACAGATTTGTGTTCAAATCCTCAGTGCATTTATTCACTTGACTTTATACAAATTAGTCAATTTCCCTGGATTGTATTAGTTAGCTTCTTATCAAGGGGACCTAATACTCAATACCCACAATTTAAAGGAGAGAATTTTTTGCCTCATGGTTGCAGTAGATTCAGTCCAAGGCAGGAACATTATGTCAGAAATGGATAGCAGAACAATGCTGCTTAGTTCATGGTGGTTGGGAAGCAGGGCAGGGGAACAGTGGCAAAGAGGTGATGGCCAGGGAGCAGAAATGATAATGTCTGTAGGACATACCCAGATACACTCAGAAGTGTCTCTGCTAGACTCCTAGGCAGCTCCCAAGCCAATCAAATTGACAATTTAGCTTAACCATCACAACCACCCCTGTCAACTTGACTCCCAAACACAGCTCCCTAAACCATACTTAATCTCCAAAGGAACACAATACTAAGTCAATAATTGTACCTAACATACATAGATATTTTGTCTACAACCAAAACTGCACTAATTTTTTACCTAGAATAGAAGGCAAAGTTTTCTTTTTGGTGACCCTCCTCCTGACATCATATAACTTATAATACAGATTTAACAACACATTAAGTACCTATATTAAGTCAATCAATGCTATGTTACATGGTGTAGGAATACAAAGAAAGAAAACAAAGATATCTCCTTAGTATATGTTTATATATGTACAAGCACATGAACAATATAGGAAAGAAATATTCATGACAATTACAATTTTCATTTTTATCATTGATCACATGGATTGGGGCTGGTACAGTGGTATCTTGGTTCATGAACATGCTTTTTTATGAACAATTTGGCTCACAAAAAGAAGTATCTGTCAAAATTTTGTTTTTGTTTGCAAACTTTGCATCAGGTGACGAACATGACCATGACTATCTTTTCCAGAATCATGGAACAAATTAAGTTTGTGAACCAAAGAATCACTGTACTTATAACTGCCATCTTCTACTACCTAATTTTGTTTTCACTTGGCCTTCAGCTAGTACTTTCATAGGTCTTGGTTCTTTTTAATGTTGCTAATCTCTTCAACATCATACCTTCTTTGGCATCAACTTCACGTGGTTCCTTTTCAGATAAAATTTAAGTTTTTTTTTTTTTAAATTTTTCTGCTGCTGATTTTCAGTATAAGTTTGACTAAAAGCAGCCAGCAGTACTTATGCTACAGCTTCAACATTGGACTGCCTTAAATTTCTTCAGCCTGATCACTTAGTCCACCACCCTTAATATCAGTCTCCTACAAGACTGATATTAGGAATCGGGTAAAATGTAGACAAAATTTTTGCCAAAGTGTAACATATTTGACATCTGGTTGAATTGTCGATGGAGTCTTTATTCCCAACTTAAACCACCTGAGCCTGGCCTTTCCTATCCTCACTCCTATGTGCATTCTTGTCCTCTGAGTTTTGACCAGAACCAAATATCATGCTTTGAGTACAGCCTTCTAGGCTTTCTCCAGGCAATTTCCAACCTTCTCCCAACTCCCTTAAAGCAGTTCCAAAGATTTCCAAACCTCACCAGCAGGTACATTCACAGTAACAGATCCTTCTTGATATCAGTTTTCTAAATTAGTCAGTTTTCTTGTCACGGCAAGCAAATACCTAATACCTGCAATTTAAAGGAGCCAATCACATTGACAGTTAATCTTACTCATCACACTGACTTTTCTCATCAGCAAAATGGAAAAAAGCCAAACCACCCTGGCTGTGGGGTTGTGAGAATTAGAAATGTGTACATTGTTGGGCACATGTGTGCTCAAATAATAGAGGCAATGATTGTTGAGGAAGTATATAATGACTGAGAAAATTGTTTTTGAAAAGACATAGACTCACTGTTAAATTCTTTTTGATATTTGTTTTTTGTTTGTTTGTCTTTGTAGTTGTGGTTCTGCTATATAGTTCAGGCTGGTCTTGGACTCACTATATACCCTACTCTTGAACTCCTAGGAATCCTCCTGCCTCAACCTCCCAAGTGCTGGGATTACAGGCATGTGCCACCAAGCCTGGCATGACTCACTGTTAAGTTCTGGCTCCACTGCTATATCAGCTGTGTAACCTCAGACACATTACCTCCGCAAATCTTAGAATAGCTCTGTATCTCACTGGGTAAAATAAAGTAATATATAAGTACTTACCACAATGTCAAGAAGCCATCTTTATCGGCATTCTACCCTCCATTCAGTTAACAATTGTGCTATAGTTTGGATATGGAATGCCCATGTGTGTTAAAGGCCTAAAACTCAGTTTGGTACTATTGGGAGTTGGTGAAAACTTTATGAAGTAGGATCTAGCAGACAGTCCTGTGGTTACTGGGAATGTTCCCTCAAAAGTAATTGTGGAATGCTGGTCTCTAACTCTTTCTCTTTTAGTTCCTTACCATTGGGTAAAGACACCTCCCCTGTCACATACTACTATAATGTGCTATCACTCACTGATCCAAATGGTCACATGGTCATGGACTGAAACTTCTGAAACTGTGACAGAGAATAAATATTTCCTCTTTATAAACTGGTTCCCTTAGGTATTTTGTTATAGCAACAGGAAGCTAACACTGAATGACAAAGGAAATACAAATGACTGGCCTCCTTGCCTCAGAGTGGTACAGCTCCGTGATTGTCCTATTTGGGGCAGATCTTTAACACCATATTGATGCCTGGACCACTTCTCTTCTCTTTCATGTCCCAACCTGCTTCTCTCATTTCCTGTATAGGGCTTCACTTCAGCAAATCAATCACAGGGAGCTAAATTCTTGTCTCATCGTGTTCCAGGTCACCTGGCCTGTGACCCTGGTATTTCCAAGTGCTAAATAAATATTAGCTCTGACTGTTACTTGGCGCTAAAAAAGAATGAAATAACATGCTTACTTAATGTTAAACTAATAACAAGTTTATAATGTCTTCTCAGTTCTCACAAATGCTTTTCTGCCACTATCACTTTTCACTAATAGATATTTTATATATTTTTATCAATGCCAATTTGGGCCATTTCATCACAGGATAGTTGACTATTTTTTTTTTCAGAGATACAAAGTTATACTTTCTATGCAATCTTTTTTCTCTCATTGAGTTTATTGGTACATTTTAGGTATACAGTACAGTTACATTCATCATTGGGATTTTGTACCTTTATATGACAGTTCTTGGTTCTCATTTTTTTTTTCCTGATCCCTGCCTCAATTTTAAATTTAAATATATAGCAGACTTACATTGTTTTCCATAGCCAGGCGACGCACAGCAGGAGTTGCTAGTGTTTTTTGGCCCTTTATCTCTTGATGTGTGTGTTCATCGTGGGATACTGCAGGAGTTTCAACAACATCTTCTTCTGAATCTGGTAAATAAGATAAAACTTAACTTCAATTGAAAAATATATCTTTAAAAAGCTTAGTGGCCTATATCTAAAATTTAATGTTTGTAATCAAAATATGTTTGGCTACTTTAGAATAGGAAAACACAGCTTTCCCAATGGTTGATGTTGAGTGGGGGTATTTGGTAATGTTTAAATATTTGTACTAGGGTATCTTTCTAATCTCTTAGAAACATACGGAAGCTACAAATTAATTTGAAAATTTCTTCTGTACATTTTAAATTTGTATTGTTTTTGACAAAGGGTCTCCCTATGTAGTTCAGGCTGGCCTTTAAGTCATTATATAACTCAGGTTGGCCTCCAATTTATAGAAATCCTCCTGCCTCAGCCTCCTCAATGCTGGGATGACAGGCATGTACCACCACATAAGCCTCTTCCATAAATTTTTAAATATTTCCCTAATATTATATTTCTACACAGTGTAAAATAAGAATCAAATGTGATGTAAATTATGTGAAAGAATCCTAAATAATCTGTGACTGTCTTAAATACTCTACTAAGATGATATAGCATTTAAATTTTTGTTGTGCTCTGAATGTGGCTTAAGGAATGTGGTGTGGTCAATGCTAATATGGTGGGTCTATTCTAGAGCTTGAGAGTCCTGATACCAGAAAAATTATCAAGCTAATAATATCATGTAATTTTGGAAGAAAAAAAATTGAGAGTATTTAAATGTTGAATTTTGTTGCTAGAAAGTCAATGACATATAGCAGAACTGTCTAAATTAATAAATTAAAAACTGAGCTTCTAAAAATCAGTAGACAACCTAGTCTATTTTGATACTCAATTATTATTTTTATCATTTGGCAGTACTAGGGCCTTAAGTTATTGAATCTAGGGCCTTAAATTATTGCTGATACTACTAAGACATATTAGCATTAGGAACTAAAATCTAAAGGAAAATCTAGGGATTCAATTGCAGGAACCCCAACATTAGCTTGGATAATGCGTATTTGCTGAAATAAAAGAAATATATACATACTAAAATATATCATGCATCAAAATCATATTTATATTTTTCAAAATATAAATTATTTATAAAATATAAATATAAAATATAATTTTATTTATATATTTTTAAATGTTTATGTTTTTCAAAAAGATTAAGTAATTCACTGCAACTCACCTTCTTGGAAAACAATTTAATTTATCACTTATAGAAGGCCATATTTCAGAGTAACTCACTTGTGAAAAGTCATTCAGATATTTGTAGTTTTTATATATAGTTGTTGGAAGAAAGCCCTCTTAATTAAATACTATCTTACTGATCCCAGCAAGATGGCCACGTGAAACATCATGGCACAGGTCCCAGCCAGGGCCACACCTACACACCAGGAACTTGGACCCAAAGGCTCCAGTCAAAGGGCCACATGGAGAAGAGCTGCCAAGGTACACAGACAACAGCCAGAGTCCCTCCCACATACCACCCATAAGTGCACACAGACCCAAGCCAGAAGCTGCTCAGACACCAGAGACTCAGGTGTACAGCGGCCAGCCAAAGGCCCTCCCAGGCAACAGCCAAGCAGGTGGGTAGGCCCCAGCCAGAGGCACAACCAGGTGACATCCCAAATGTACACAGGCCCCAGCTAGAATCCTGCTTGCACAATAGAACAGCACAGGAATCCAAAAGGCTACCATTCTGAACCCAGGAACTGGCACAGTGGTAAGCAGCAGAAAGAAGGCCTCTCCAAGGCTTCCTGAGAATTGAAGCCCACTGGGAGAACAAAATGTCGCCTCAAAAAAGGCACAGCAAGGCTGCATCTGTTGACATGAAAAGACGCGTAAATAAGTGGAAAAAACCCCAAAAAACAACAGACTTCCAGTAAACCCCAAGGGGCTATGAGGTGGAACAATCTGATACTCAACTATCTGAACTCCCTGAATTGGCAACAAAAGAGGATCTGGAAAAAATGAAATCAGAAATAATTTCTCAAATAAAAACAGAATAATGAATGTAACTGTACTATATACCTAAAATGTACCAATAAACTCAATTTTAAAAAATTCCACTGAAAGTTTACACAGCAGAATGAGCCAATGTGAGGACAGAACATCAGACGTAGAAGACAGGATTGCAATTAGTGACCAGGAAAAGAAAAATTTCTTAAAAATAGTAAGGGATGATGAGAATTCAATCCAGGAGCTGCTAAATGATGCAAAGAAGAATAACAAAAGACTGATCAGAGTCAGTGAAGAAACAGGAGAGAGTGCAGATGACATAAAAAACAACTATTTACAGAGATAATGGCAGAAAACTTCTCAAGCAGGGGAAAGGAACTTGATATGCAGATAAGTGAGGCATATGGGACTCCAACTAGCCGTGATAAAAAAAATCTACACCTAGGCATATAAGAGTTAAGATTCAGAAACCGAACAGAAGAACAAAATTCTATAAGCAGTCAGAGGAAAGAAAAAAGTCTCATACAAAGGAAAGCTCATCAGAATCAAAGCAGACTTCTCAAAACAAACCCTCAAGTCAGTAAGAACCTGCAGTGAAGTATGTTAATCCCTAAAAGAAAACAACCTCCAACCAAGATTGATGTACCCTGCAAAACTATCTTTCAAAATTGAAAGAGAAATAAGATACTTTCATGACAAAGAGCACCTGAGAAACTTCATGAATACCAAACCAGCACTCCAAAAATTTTAAACAATATCCTAGGAGAAGACAATGAGGATCACAACACCAGGAAGCCCAACAGAATGAATCCATCAGGCACAACAAGTAAGTAAATGCAAAGGGGGAGAATCCAACAAAAAGAAAAAGTTATGGCAATGATAAGTCAATACATATCAGTTATAAACAATAATGTTAATGCTCTCAATTCACCAATCAAAGCAAATAGACTGGAAGAATGTGTCAAGAAGCAAGATCCAATAATGTGCTACATACAGGAAACACACTTAATTGAAAAAGAAATTCAGCTATGGCTTTAGCTCAGTGGTTCTGCTGCCTGCTTTGCAAGTGTAAGGTCCCAAGTTCGATCCCCAGTACCAGCAAAAGAAATTCATAGACTGAAAGTTAAAGGGTGGAAAACAATACTCCTTGTGACAGAAACCCAAAAAAAGCAACAGCTATCCTATTGGCAGATCAAATAAATGGATTTCAAACCAGCACTAATTAAGAGAGACAAAGAAGGCCACTATATCCTTGTACAGGGAACAATAGAAGAGAAAGAGATGACAATCATAAATGTATGCACCAAATACTAGTGCACCCAACTATATAAAACAAATACTTCCCTTAGTAGTATTTGAAAAATCAAACAAACACCAATACAATAGTAGTGGGGAGGAGCAGGGATTTAGCTCAATGGTGCCGCCACCTTCCTCAGAAGCACAAGGTCCCAAGTTCGATCCCCAGTACAAAAAAAAAAAAAAAAAAATGGTAGTGGGGGACCTCAATACCACACTGTCACAAATAGATCAACTAGACTAAGAATAAACAAAATACTAGAACTCAATCAAAATCTTGAGATGTTTACAGAGTGTTCCACCCAACAAAATCAGAATACACATTCTTTTCAGCTGCACACACGTCCTTGTCTAAAATAGATCACATACACACTCATAGAACATGTTTAAGAATTGGGAAGGAATTGAAGTGATTCCCTGTATATTATCAAACCATAGTGTGATAAAATCGGAGATCAATAATAAAAGAAACCAAAAGAATTTCATAAACACATGGAAATTGAACAACACAGTTCTGAATAACCATTGTGTCACAAAGGAATTTAAACAAGAAATCAGACAGTTTCTACAATTAAATGACAGTACCGATATAACTTATCAGAATCTATGGGGCACAATGAAAGCATTCTTATGAGGGAAATTCACAGCAATGAATAGTCATATTAGCAAAACAGTGTGAGCTTAAATAACCTGATGCTGAACCTCAAGCTTCTAGAAAAAGAAGAGCAGAACAAACTCAAAGGTCATATAAGGGAGGAAATTATAAAGATCATAGTGGAAATCAATGCAATGGATACTAAGAGAATGATACAAAAAGTCAGTGAAGCAAAGAGTTGGTTCTTCACAAGAACAAACTGACAAAACCCTATCCAACCTTATATATTAAAAAAGAAAAGAAAAGACCCAAACCCATGCAATTAGGAGTGAAAAGGGTGAAATTACAATGGAGCCAATAGAAATCCAGAGGATCATCAATACCTACTTTAAGAACCTATATGCTGCCAGGTGTGATGGTGCACGCCTGTAATCTCAGTACTTGGGAGGCTGAGGCAGGAGGATCACTGTAAGTTTGAGACCAGCCTGGGCTACATAGTGAGTTCCAGGTCAGTCTCAACTACATAGTGAGACCCTGTCTCAATAAATAAATAAATAAATAAATAAATAAATAAATAAATACAAACAAACAAAAAAGAAATTAAAAAAGAACCTATATGCCAATAAGATGGAATACACAGAAGAAATGGACAGATTTCTAGATATATATGAATTACCAAAGTTGAACAAGACCTAAAAATTCTACACAACTCAGTATCAATCAACAGAATTGAAAATGTAATTAAAAACTTACTAATGATGAGTCCTGATGGCTTCACTGCTGAATTCCACAAGACATTAGAGAATAACTATTGCTGCTACTGTTTAAACTCTTCAATGAAATGGAAAGGGAAGCAGTACTCCCAAAATCATTCCTAGAAGCAATCATAACCTGGATCCCCAAAGCAGTGAAAGACCCAACTGAAAAAGAGAACTATAGGCCAATATCACTAATGAATATAGATGCAAGAATCCTCAATGAGACACTGACAAACAGAATGCAGAGGATCATCAAGAAGATCACACACCCTGACCAAGTGGGATTCATCCCAGGGATGCAGGGATGGTTCAACATCTACAAATCAATAAATGTGATACACTGTATTTATAGAGCCAAGGACAAAAACCATGTGATCATCTCAATAGATGCACATAAGCGTTCCACAAAAATCCAACACCCATTCATGATAAAAGCCCTACAAAAAATTGGAATAGACAGTCTGTATCTCAACCTGATAAAAGTCATCGATTAACAACCAAGAACCAATATCATACTACATGGTCAAAACCTAAAACCCTTCACACCAAAATCAGGAACAAAACAAGGATGTCCATTATCACCACTCCAGTTCCATTAAATTTTGGAAACATTAGCCACAATAATTAGAAAAGAGAAAGAAATAGAAAGAATAAAGATAGGAAACAAGGAAGTTAAACTGCCATTATATGCAGATGACATGACTCTATATAGAAAACCTCAATAACTTTGCCAAAAATCTTCTAGACTTAACAACCAAATTAAGCAGAGTAGCTGGATGCAAATTCAACACACAAAATCAATCAATAGCTCTCCTGGACATGAACAACAGATGTACTGAGGGAGGAAGTGGAGAAACAACTCCTTTCACAACAGCATCCAAAAAATGAAATGCCTAGGAATCAGCCTAATGAAAGAAATCAAGGAGTTCCACTCTGAAAAATGAAGCACTCAGAAAAAAGAGATTATAGAGAATATCATAAAATGGAAAGACATCCCTTGTTCTTGGGTAGGAAGTACCAATATAGTGAAAGTGGCCATACTTCCAAAACTGCTATACAGATTCAACAGTATCCCAATTGAAACTCCAACAGCACCCTTCACCTTAAGAAAACAAATCAAAAATTCATTGGGAAGAAGAAAAGACCCAGAATAGCAAAAACTATTCTAGGCAAAAAAGACAAGCGGGCTATCATAATTCTCAACTTAAAATTATACTACAAAGCTACTGAGATAAAAACAGCATGGTACTGGCAAAGAAACAGACCCCAGGATCAGTGGAACAGATGAGAAGATGCAGAAACAACTCCAGACAAACTCATCCACCTCATCTTCAACAAAGAAGCCAAGCACTCTCACTGGAGGAAAGATAGCCTCTTTAATAAATAGTACTGGAAAAATTGTGTTTCAACTTGCCAAAGATTAAAACTAGACCTATATCTCTCACCATGCACTAAACTAAAATCAAATGGATTAAAGATCTAAATTTTAAAGCAGAAACACTAAACCAGCTGGAAGAGAGGTTAGGTAAAACTCCTGAAGACATTGGCGTAGGAAAAGATTTCATGAACAAAACCTCAGTTGCAGTTGAACTAGCACAAAGAATAAAAAAGGGGATCTGTTCTTATTAAAAAGCTTCTGCACAGCAAGAGAAACCACAACAGAGCTAAGAGACAACCCACAATGTTTGAAAAAATTTTTATCAGTTGTTCCTCAGACAAAGTTCTACTATCTAGAATATATAAATAACTTAAAATCAGTCCTCCTGAATTTGAAGACCCAATCCACAAAAGAAGGAGAAGGAGAAGAAGAAGAAGAAGAAGAAAAGAAGA